TCACAAACCAGGTAGAAAACAATTACTCAAATTCAGAAGCTAACAGAAACTTCACTCCGGCTGAAAATTAACTTCCAAAAAAATTCAATCAATCCCTAATAAACAATCACTGTCCCGCGCAACTTTACAAATTTCACCAAAATTAACTTTAAGAAACAAACATTTCAGATTTTCAACAAAAATCCAAATTTTTAATCAATTGAATTAGGTACTGATCCATGGAAAACAAATCCAATAACACATCTCAAGGGTTTTAACAAAAATTACTAAATCCTGAACACAAACTACTGCTCTGACACTAATTCAATTAATTAAAATTAAAATTCTTCAAAATAACTCAAAAAGCAATAAGCAAAAAAAAAAAAAAAAAAAAAAAAATCAATCATTAACACAATGCAATTCTCACCAAAACTTAAAGTGATGATAAATGGATATCGTAATTGCAAGCACATAAATAGAGATGTATCCCATGTGTGATTAACACGCGTGCCTTATAACCTTATGTTGCAAACATACAGTTGCAAAATTGTGAATCAGTAATCCTCAAAATCACTATGTAAAAAGTGCAATACAAAATTTTGCACAAAGAAATACTACTAAAGGTACTGCGTGAAAATGTTTGTGTTGGATAACATAGTTTTAAAGTCCAAATGTGTATCAGTAGTACAATCTGGTATGCAATCTCAAACAATAAGTATAAAATAAAAGCACAGTAATACGACCACTGTATAGCCTGTCACTGTAACTAAAACGAGTAGGGTTTCAGTAAAAAGCCTAGAAGGTTGGAAAAACTTTCACATAAATATGGCAATAGTACCCTGACAATCCCAGTCTCAAGTCAAATTAAGTTTCAACTATAAGAGCAAGCCAAAGGTGGTGCAAAAATAAACAGCACAACAAAATTGGTTAAGTGGTAAGTTGGTTCGAAGGGTCACGGCACCAAAAATGTTATGTGCTAGAGTCACGGCACCAAAAATGTTATGGTGTTTTTTTTTAATTTTGATTTTTTTCTTCCTAAATTTTCCTTCTTTACCAAAGGTATCCACGATTGAACATAACACCAGAATACTCTTACCACAGAAAAATACTAGTAACAATAAAAGTTGAAAATTTTGCGTTTGTTTATTCCGGATTAACCCTTAAAATTCATTTGAGTAAGACTGGTAAATCATGAACACACAAAATAAATTTAACCTTGAATGATCTAGAAAAAACTTATTTATTTAACTATTAATGCAAATTATTATATCCATTAGTTGAAAAAAAATCAAAATATATTCAACAAATTTGTACTATTGTGTTTACACATCCAACATTTCTGAGTAATTATTTTTTAACATCCTTGTAATTACTATTAAATTTAATATTGCAAATCTGGTAAAACATACCAAAATAAACTATAAATTTAGAACAACTACCCTCCCCGGGGAGAAAAATAATAATAAAAAAAAAATTTAACAAGTTACACTTCCACTTCACACAGAATTCATCAATACAAAAAAAAAAAAAAAAAAAAAAAAAAATAAAAATATTGCTTAATATTGCACTCAATACCATGATTTAAATACTATTATTGCACATAATAATTTTTATTATTTAATTTTTTTTTCTTTTCATTAATTAAATATGGTTAACCGGATAAAGATAAGTACTGACACATATACACTTCTACAAACAAGTTCGTCCTGAGAGAAGCAAGATTGCTCTAATACAAGCACATTACAAATCATCCTCACCAATGAGTAATTCAAAAAAAAATTCATTAAATAATTTCCTGAAGAACTTAATTTTCTTAACCATTAAGTTAAGTTACAATAATTTTAATAAGGTTATAAATCTTTATTCAATTTAATGCTTTTACTTAATTGATACACCAAAGAAAAATGATTTCTATAGAGTTAGGATATTTATCAACTACAAAAAATTAAGGTTCAACAAATTAAGTTAATTCAATCATTTTAACTGCAGAAATCTAAATATTTAACTAACCAGAATTAACCAAAAAAAAGAAAAGACTTATCTGTTCGCTGAGCAGCAGGAAGTCACAAAAAAAAATCCATTGAAGCTCATGAGGAATGCTGGCAGCCTGTTGAATGGAAAAAAAAAAATGTTCGTCGAATGTATGGAGTCATTACGGTAGCCTAGAAGTTCTAGTAGATTTTAGAATGAACAATGAGGTTCCCATACGGTAAGATAATGAAATACAGTTCCGGATGTGGAGATACGAGAAGATTATGATGAACACATGAGGATCTAAACAGGCCAAATAATTGAATACAGTCCCGGTTTTTGGAGAATACGAGGAGATTAACAGGAACTAATTTTCAAACCAATTCCCGGACATCTTCAGGGGAAATGACGAAATCAAATTCTACAGGTTCCAAAAGCACGGTTGTAAATTAACCGCTCCATTTCAGAGTATAGCGACATTCAAATGGTTGACGGGGCACGATCTTTTTAAGATTTACTTCTTAATTTTCTTGAATACAAACACACACACAAAAAAAAAAAAAAAAAAAAAAAAAACTGATAAAGATTCGAATTTTTGGAGATAGAGCATACTAGCCCGCGCTAAAGACTTAGCAGTTAATGGACCCATTTCTTCTCGAGTCGGAAGGTGTTCGCGCCTTATGTAAATTTTGATTTTGTTCCCTGCAAGAGGGCGCCTGCGAGCGCCGAACTACTTGTATATCTATTGTACGAACTTGTTCTTCACACAGTCTAATAAACGCAGTAACGAACGTTGGTGTCAAGACAATTTTTAACGTTCTGGTATAGAAGGACATTTCGTGCAGGGAAAACGGATTTATATTTTGTCTGGATTGTGAAAACAGCGGCAGGAATATGGAGTCAATTTTAAAGCAAAAGCGTATCATTAAGGGTAAGTTGACTCGTTTAATTTCACAAATAAATAGTTTACAAAATCAAGAAAATTCTTTTTCTGCCATTGAAGTGTACGAAAATGATGTTAGTGTGCATTAAGTGTTGAAGTGAACTGTTTAAACGATAACATTCTTGGTACTTGTTCTGACGCAGAGTTTAGTAAATATGAAATAGAAATGAATGAACTATTTTTTCCAAATTAGATGCATTAAAAATTACTTTAAAGGAAGAATCAAGAAAACTTAGAAATTCAGGCAAAGATATAATAAATGCTAATGCAAACGGCTTGAAACTTCCTCGCGTGGAATTGCCAGTGTTTACTTCTAATTATGTTGATTGGATATCATTTAGGGATTTATTTCTTGCCAGTGTTGGAAATAATAGTACATTAAGTGACAGTCAAAAATTGCAATATCTTAAGCTTTCTGTGAAAGGTGAAGCTGCTGTTTTACTACAGTCAGTTCAAATTTCAAACGCGAATTATGAAAAGGCATGGGAAGCGCTTACTGAACGTTATGAAAACGAAATAGAAATAATAAACGCAGCATTAAATAAATTAACTTCACAACCTGTTCTAAAACATGAATCAGCTTCAGGTTTGCGGAGATTAATTGATACAACACAACAGTGTATTGATACATTAAAAATCCTTAAACAGCCGGTAGAGCATTGGGATACTATGATTATTTTTCTGTTAAAAGGAAAACTTGATTATGAAACACTAAAAGAGTGGACGATAGAGCATTCGAACAAGAAAAATTTCTGCTTTCGCTGAATTCAAGCGTTTTATTTTAAACAGAGCGAATGCTATTGCCTCTTTGGCGAAGTGCCAGAGGGAGAAGTCAATTTTGCCTTCTGAAATTAAAACTCGCGGTTCAGGTAGCAGATACGCTTTTTCGTCCCAACTTGTGGCTAATGTGTGCGTTCATTGTAAGAGTAATTCTCATTCTCAGTTATTTAAATGTGATAGTTTTTTTAGAACTCCCTATCAAAGAAAAATGGGATATTATTAAAAGGAATAAATTATGTGCTAATTGTTTGAAAGATAGTAAAACGCATCCCATTTTTAAATGTCGTGCAGGAATGTGTAAATATTGTTCAAAGCCACATAATACAGTGTTATGTTCGAAAAATTCAAATGATGAAAAATGTCATATACCCATGGAACACGGAACTTCTGCTATTAGTAGCAATAACGCCACGGTGCCTGTTGCGCAAGCAGTTTTATTGCCTACTGCGGTTGTTTATGTTAAAGATATTAATGGCGATTTACAAAAATGCAGGATGCTAATTGATTCAGGTAGCCAGGGCTCATTTATTCGAGAGCACTGTGTAAATTTACTGCAGCTAAAGCGCACTAGTGCAAACATAAGTGTAAATGGCCTGAGCTCGCAAAAAATTGGAAAGGTTTCAGGTTCAGTTCAATTACAAGTAACATCTCCATTTTATAAAAACGCAAGCATTTCAGTTAATGCATTAATTATACCCAAGATCACGTGTGACCTTCCTCAATATCAAGTTGATAGATCTGTTTTGACATCTTTCAAACATTTGTGGTTGGCAGATACAAATTGTTTCCAGCCTGGCCCAATAGATATTCTTTTGGGCGCAGATGTATTTGGCGAGATAATGCTTCATGGACGTTTAACTGTTCCGGGTCATTCGTTAACAGCCTTGGAATCAATATTCGGCTGGGTCATTATCGGAAAGACTAAAAGTGTATCACAGACAATTGTATCTAATCATGCTAGTTGTACCAATGTTCAGCTCCAGCTTGAAAAATTTTGGAAATTGGAAGAAATTTCGGAGATAAAGCATTACACAGAAGAGGAAATTGAATGTGAAAATCATTTCAAGCGGAATTTTTCTCGTGATTCAACAGGTAGATTTGTTGTTAAGTTTCCATTTCGTAGATCGGGAAATGAACTTGGGTCATCAAGGGATGTTGCTGTACATCGTTTACAAAGCATTGAACGTCAATTTATTAAGAATAAATCTCTTTCCAGTCAATATCACAAATTTATGGAGGACTATCAACAACTTGGTCATATGGAATTGATTCCAGAAAATGAAATTGATGTTCCAGCTAATTCTAGTTTTTACCTTCCGCACCATTCAGTTCCGGATAAAAATGGTGATAAATTTCGAGTCGTATTTGATGGTTCTGCAAAATCTTCTAGCGGTATTTCTCTTAATGAGAAATTGATGGTTGGTCCACAGTTGCAGACTGATCTGACAACATTAATTATTCGTTTCAGAATTCACAGAATAGCTATAACTGCAGATATAGAGAAAATGTACAGACAAATTATACTAAAAGATGCAGACTTTCAGAGAATAGTCTGGCGCGATTCACTTTATAAACCAATTCAGGATTTTCGATTAACTAGGATTGATTGCTTACGGTACTGCATCAGCTTCGTACCTTGCGGTAAGATGTTTGTTTACAGCAGTTAGCCATAGATGAAGCAACTAATTTTCCTTTGGCTTCCAAGACATGTCTTAGGGACTTCTACGTTGATGATTTGATGTCCGGAGCCAATTCAGTTACTGAAGCTATAGAATTACAAATGCAATTGAATCAGATGTTGTCACGTGCAGGATTTATTCTAAGAAAATGGGCTTCTAACAGCAAAGAAGTCTTGAATTCAATTAATCCAGATTTGTGCTTATCAAATGTTTCTTTGAACATAGACAATGATGATACTGTAAAAACGTTAGGTATCCTGTGGCATCCAGCTTCAGATATGTTTTTATTCAAAGTCAATTCATCATATCCTGAAGTCTTAACCAAACGAACATTACTTTCAATAATCGCAAAGACCTTTGACCCTCTTGGATGGTTGGCACCGATCACGGTTCGGTATAAATTGATTATGCAAAGATTGTGGAAACATCAGTTTCAGTGGGATGAAAAGGTTCCTCCAGATATTGAATGTGAGTGGAAACAACTTACAGAAGATTTGTTATTTATTAAAAGTATCAAAATTTCACGATTCTTGTTGGTTGAATCAGATAACCAGTTTCAACTGCACGGGTTTTGTGACGCCTCAGAGAAGGCCTACGCCGCTGCAATTTATTATCGTTCTGTGTTAGATACTGGACAAATTAATGTTCAGTTAGTGATAGCCAAAACAAGAGTTGCACCACTAAAAACCATATCACTTCCCCGATTGGAACTTTGTGGAGCATTACTGTTGACTAAATTAATGGATTTCACCTGTAGGGCTTTAAATACTCCTATATCGCAAGTTTATTTTCATACTGATTCCACTATTGTATTAGCCTGGATAAGATCTCATGCAAGCCGATGGAAGACCTTCGTCGCCAACAGAGTAGCAAAAATCCAGACTTTATCCTCTCCTGTCCAGTGGCATCATGTGAGTGGAAATGCTAATCCTGCTGATCTTGCAACCCGTGGTGTGTCATCATCTGCACTGGTTACTTCATTGTGGTTACGTGGTCCAGATTTATTGTATAATTTATTTCCTTTCAGCAAGCATTATCTGCACCACTACTGAATGATTCTGTGCCAGAGCAAAGATGTGCTTTACAGTCTAACAACTGCTGCCAGTCACTTGACAGACGCGCTCATGATTTATTTTATAAATATTCCTCTCTCACTAAACTTAAACGTGTTGTAGCATTATGTCTGAGGTTTGTAAATAACTGTAAAAATTCAGAAGATCAGGTAAGTGGATTTCTAAAAACAAGTGAATTAACTAAAGCTATGCATGTGTTAATTAAATTAATGCAATATGTTGAATTTAAGAATGAAATTAACACTTTAGGCAGAAATCAATCATTATCTGGTACAAGCAAAATTTTATCTTTGAATCCATTTTTAGATAATTTAGGTATTCTCAGGGTGGGCGGTCGCTTGCGACATGCAAACCTTGCATATGGTTTTAGGCATCCAATTTTGCTTCCAAAGAAGCACATTTTAACTCATCTCATTGTTAGACATTACCATGAAAGACTTTTGCATGCAGGTCCACAACTTATGCAATCTTGCATTCAAGAACAATATTGGATCATAAATGGTAGAGCTGTTATCAGAGATTTAGTTAGGAAATGTATAAAGTGTTGCAAAATTAGAGCATCTGTCACTAATCAATTGATGAGCGATTTGCCGTCTAGTCGCGTTTCGCCTGCTCCTGCGTTTTTGCGCTGTGGAGTGGATTACGCAGGTCCTTTTCAAATTAAAGCAAATAAGGGTCGAGGCTCTAGGTCATTCAAGGCATATATAGCTCTATTTGTTTGTTTTACGACAAGAGCTATTCACCTAGAATTAGTGACTGATCTTTCAGCAGATGCTTTTATTGCAGCTCTTAAGAGGTTCATTTCCCGCAGAGGCAAAAGCAGTGATATATATAGCGATTGTGGTTCCAATTTTGTTGGAGCAAAACGCAAACTGATGGAATTTGAAAGGCTTGCTAGGTCTGCAACTTATAACCAAAATGTTAGCAGATATTTGGTTGATAATGGCATTAAATGGCATCTAAACGTTCCAGGTGCGCCACATATGGGTGGACTCTGGGAAGCTGGCATAAAATCAACAAAATACCATTTAAAACGAGTAGTTGGTGAGGCGAGATTGACATATGAAGAATTTGAAACATTTCTCACACAAATAGAAGCTTGTCTTAATTCGCGACCTTTAACAAGTTTGTCTAATGATCCAAATGACTTGTCAGCATTAACGCCTGGTCATTTTCTTATTGGTAGATCATTAACAAGCATTCCTGAACCAAATTACATTGAAGTTTCCCATCTCACTAGATGGCAACATATTCAAAAAATGGTTCAACAATTTTGGAAGCGTTGGCACAAAGAATATCTGTGTCGATTACAACAAAGACCAAAATGGCTTTTGCCAACTAAAAATCTTCAAGTTAATGATCTGTGTCTCATAAAGGAGGATAACTTACCTCCAACTAAATGGAAAATGGGTAGAATTACTCAGTTACATCCTGGTCTTGATAGTGTTGTTAGGGTTGTGACTATTAAGACTTCAGATGGCATGGTTAAAAGAAATATTACAAAATTGTGTCCATTACCAATTTGAGTTTTAATTCATGTATTATAAATTAAGTATTATATCATAATTTTAATATTGTATTGTGTTTTAAATTTACTGAATTTTAACCACTAAATGTTGAAATAGTATTTCAAGGTGGGCGGCATGTTCGCGCCTTATGTAAATTTTGATTTTGTTCCCTGCAAGAGGGCGCCTACGAGCGCCGAACTACTTGTATATCTATTGTACGAACTTGTTCTTCACACAGTCTAATAAACGCAGTAACGAACGTTGGTGTCTACTTTCCATCCGCTAACATCGGCCAGCATCAGAAAGCAATTCAAAGGGCAAAAGAAGTGTCAAAAAGTGACCTCGTCCCACAAAACAACCCGTTAAAAGGGAGAGCGCCGGACTGCCAAGTTGGCACAACCCACTATTCGCCGAAAATTAAAATAATTGCAACAACAGCATACCCTCATGTTATCAAACTCGCCAAATCCACTAACTTTGAAACCTCAACGGAAATTCTACGTCGCCAAACCCTCGCCAAAATAACACCCACCTTGTGGACAGGGGAAATTAAGAATTTCAACAACCCTGCAAGCGGTCCCAACGAAAGAATTCTGAAACTCGCAAAAAGTGACTTTTCAAACCGGAAGGAAGGCATTTCATCCCCCTTTAACTAAATCACAAGCAAACGAAGAAAAATCTACTAATTAAAGCTCATAACTGAAATGCAATTAAAGTTAGAAAAACGAAAGTTATGCCAAATTAAAGAGCTAATTTTTCTGCAACTAATGATATTAAATACTAAGAAATCAAATTAATTTTGACATGAAAAACTGAGAACGTGAAAAAAAATCACTTATCCATTGTTTGCGTGTACAAGATTGAAGACGCAGTTCGCGTAAACTCGGAAAGTCAAAATATATTACACTAGAATTAATAGGCCCAAAAAGAATATAACCATACTTGTGTAGCTCAAATTTTGAATAATTACAAATGAAAATTTTGATTTTTATGAATCACTTAAATTAAATTCGCTACACAACAGCTGTTTCGAGAGTGTGAAGGAGAAAGAACGTATTTTAACGAATGTGTCTTGGAAAGGCGATAGAAATGTTACAGTTTCCAGATTTTAAGAAATGATTCCTACTAGTTACGAAGAGCAAGAGTTCACTGGCTGAAGGATGTGCATGGTGTTGGTGGAGAATGAACTTTTTATTGGAGATATCTAGAAATAGAAGAGGAAGCAGAGTAATGGAGTGATGAATCGCCAATGTATGTGAGATAGAAGTAAACTTGCGAAACAGTCTCGACCTCAAGGAAGATGACCAGCGGTATGGAAGGAATAAGTGTGTAATATAAGTGAAACACAGGAACTCATAAAACACCAGAGAAGAAGATGAATAGAGCTCTGCAATGTTCTCAGCAGGTGTTCCAGTTGCCAAAGCCTAAAGAGAAGGTCCCGAATACAAGAAAATATCGAACTGCGTTAATCAATCCGTGTGAACAATCGAGTGGACAATCGTAAATAATCATGAAAGTATCAAAACGTATTATATACTGTAAGTGACTATGTTAAGGACAGGTTTCGTGTGTTCATTGGACTGCATCGCTAAATTTGTTTTGTTGCCTGACTGTGAAAAATCCTGAAATCAGCAGTCATAAGTACCCTTTACCTTCTCTTAGTTGTAGAGTGATTATGTAAATCTGAATTTTATTTGAACGCTAAATATTTATTAAGGAGTTTAGGATAAAGCTTTTATTTGTATGTTTATGGTGACTTTGATATGTTATTGGGAACGTAGGAAAGTGAATTAAAATACGAATAATTTTGTAACTTTGATATGTGTTTATTTAGGAATATGTTTTCGTTCACCCAACAACTTGGCCCTAAAACTCTACTCAACACATCTGGAATTACAGTTTCACTCAAAAACAAGAAATCGTCTAGCCGATCTCCGGCTAAATTTAAGCCATGAATATAATGTACTATTTCTACGGATGATATCAATAAACATAATTCTTTCTTCATAAGGCCAACGAAAACATAAATAAATGAATAAAAGGGTTAACTAACAAGAGTAAAGAGAACGCTAAGAAGTAGAGTATGGAAGGAAATTTTAACTGGGATCTGTAAGCCTGAAAACAAAGAGAGAAGAGCCCAACACAATCTGGCTACGTTCCCCTGTCAGTATCATTCCAGCTGTCAAGCAGAATATGATAGGAGAAAAACAATTTTCTCAAATCCAAAGGGATTCATCTGTAAGCTGAGAACAAACTTAAAGTTCTGCTTATCTGAACATTTTCCCCTGTTGGTTTATATTGTTCTAAAAAGTCTGCAGGCGCTGTTTGTCATGGGAAGTCACTGACATTGTACGGGTATGACACGGTGATCACTTATAATATTTTGGGGAACGAAAGATAAATTCACTTTGTTGCGTTTAAGTGTAAAACATGTAGAAATGGGAAATAAATTCAAACATTAATAAAACAAATGAGCGAATATCTTATTTAGATCTTGTGTTCAAATCAAATCAAAATAATATCTGCGTACGAGCTGTATTAAAATTTTTGAACTACCTAGTTAGTAGTCCAATGAAAATACAGGTATGATAAAACTCCTAATAGAACAAACAGGTGTTTGTTTACAATAATCACATTTTATTATTTGAAACTACTAGTTACAAATACAGTAAAAACCCTAGGCGAAGGTTCACGGGTAATATGTGGCAGGTCTTGTGCAAACAAAAAGTAATAATACTGATAAACCTGTAAGGTTACACTGAGAGGTAGCCATCCAAATTAACCCGTTTACATTAATACTTCACACAATACTATATGTACTAATTAGACAAATTTGGGCCTCTGGAAAAAGATAATATCAAGTTATTTCAAAATAAATTTATCAAAACGAAGGATACCGGTTATCACAGGTTAGACACATTAAATTACAACTATCCATTGAACAAAATTCTAAAATCCATAATTTCACAACTTTACATAAATTCCAAATCTAAAACAAAGCCGATTTTGAGAAAAATATGCTTTACGCAAAATTTTCCTAAAATTCTTACAACAGTTTTACTTACAAGTCCAAAATTAATCTTGAACCTGGTATCACCCGTTTTGGAAAGTACACAATATTTTGGAAAATACATCAAAGATTTACTTTAAATGATTGATCCTACCTATCCAAAGGTACCTGAACTCAAGAAACAGTAAAACTCGTATCTAAAAAGAGACGGAAAGATTTTGGTAAGCAATAAATTTGTAAGACTTAATTAAGTGTTAAGAACTGGAGGTTCATTTTTCCCCTGAAAGTAGGCAGCAGAAGCGAGTCGGACCTCAGTGACTTCACCATGGGTCGCACAGGTAATATCCCAACACCATGGGCTAGTAGTACATTGTTGAGTTTGAACTGAAGAGGTGATGGGCTATTGTTGCGGGAATGAGATTTCTTTATTCCCACAAATGAGTATTTGCTATACGATGTGT